GAGAAGTCACAAGCGAACCCCAGGAGAAGTCACAAGCGAGCCCTCTACCGGTTCTGAACTACCCATCTTCTACATAGTGTCGCAGTCAAACGCCACTTGCAAAGTGAAAGAAGGAGAAGGCTCAAAGAAGAGGAACAAGTCACAAGGAGGCGACAGACAAGCTGGAACTGCAGTACCTACTTCGGCATAGCTGCCAGTGCAGTAGGCGCCTCTGCGTCGATGCGAAAACACCCCAGAGCGAGTGCACCTGCCAAGGTCATCCGGCGTTTGGACGAGTTCCTTTGCATACCTGTGTCCACCTCGCGATGGGTCTTGGTCTTTGATGAGTGCAACATCTTGGTCAGGTTGAACTCCTGGCAGAAAGGAGTACTGCTCACACGAACACAAAATGCACAAAGGTAAAAGCAGGCGCCTGCAGGATGGCAAAGCGCTTGCCATGCTCAGACCTGCAGCATCTTGCAACTTTGAGGTCTTGTACACTGTGGAAAGTTGCATGCGGTTGCATGCGGTTGTGCTCAGGCCGGAGCTCGAAGAGCCGCGGCATCCCTTGACGCAGGCGCTTTGCGTTGGCAAAGAACTCGTTCCAGTCATCCTGGGCCAAGGTTATGGGGCAAATCTTGCTCACACTGGGAGCTAAACAGCTGGAGGCACGTAGTTGGCAACGTCTGGTGGCAGGAAGGCTTCGAAGCCAGCATGGAAAGTTGGCAACTTCTCCCGAAACTCATGCACGACACCGCTGGCACGCTCGCCCGCGGTCACTCTTCTGAAGTCTACGCAGTCGTACCATTCGTCGAAAATCAAGTTGTAGATTGGCCGCACCATACCTCAGTCCGATTGCAAGTGGCATGCGTCGCATCCCACAGCCAAGATTCATAGCTCAGGGCCGAGCGAGCCAGAAACAAGTTGTTGCTCCCGCTTTTTCTGTCTGGGCTGGAGGCCGACACCTTTGACCAAGGCTGATGCTTCTGTGAATGTTCGAAGGAACAGCAAGAGCCATTGTTCATGGCGCCTGCGCTCTCTGATAGAGGGACTCACCATGCGGGTCGTCGGCAGACAAACACAGCTCCGACAGGAAGTACACACATTCGGGCCTTGGCATTCGCCCCCTTCATTCTTGGATCAAGAATGCGCAACCATTAGAACCACCGTTGTTCGCGCTAGCAAGGGCAAAGGGCATGAATCGCAGGTTGCCAGCTTCGCCCCAAACCAGCAAGTAGACTACCTTTGTCTTGTCTGTTTGGTCTTACATACGTGTCAAGAGTGTTGACCTTTCAAAAACAGACGCCTAGTCCCACTCCAGCATTGCATAATGTTGTTGTTGTTGCGTTTGGCTAGTGCAAAAATCACATAGAAAGCCGTTGCTTTGCAACCTCGGGTCGATCTCGGCCAGGTGCTTGCTGCTAACGCGCGCTGCCAGTGACTTGTTTTCTGCCTCGAGCCAGGGGCCCGGTGCCAGGTGCGACCAGCGAGCCCCGCCCAAGCCCAGCGAGGCGTCACTCAGGCGCTCCTCCAAAGCAACCCTGAAGGAACTCTCACACAAGCTTTCCACATCTTGCGGCAAAGCACCTGCAGCTCAAGAGCCAAGGCGTGTCGCCAGTGTAGGAAACCATGCAACAGCTCGGCCTCGGCAGCCGAACAGACTCAGACCTACTGCCTGTCTCCGGAACTGCTCTCATTGCTCTGAGATGTGCACATGCAATGCATCAAGGGCATCGTGCAGAAGCGTCTGCTCATTGACCACCTGAGAACATTTGTACTGTCGCAAAGCTGTCGCACAGCTGTCAAATTCAGTAGACTTGAGATCGCGTATTACCGCAGCCTCCCCTTACTTGACTTCGCCAGCTTGTCCCTACTGTAGGTAATCATGTTCTCCGGTATTTGACTAGGGCACAGCTTCAGTGAGGAAGTCGCCCTCCTCTTCATGTTCAAGATCCAAATCTGCCAGAATGGCACAATGCGACCGCCAGAGTGAGAGGAGGTGGTCAAATTGATTCCTTCCCAGCATTTGGCGAAAACATATGAAAACACCAGCTGCCCAACCAAGCCTTACGTTGTCGACTTGGAAGTCGAACCGCTGGTACAAGGCGGCGAAAAGGCTGGCAGTGCTCTCTGCAAAGTGCTGTGCACCGTGGAGGCCACGAAGCGAGTGATCCTTCATCCAATGCCTCACCAACTCCTGCAAGGCATTGACAAAGCTGCGCGCAACACGTAAAGCTCCCAGCGTCCTGGTGCAAATCCGCTTGAGCCGGCGCAGTCGGACGGGCTGCTGCATAGAGGCCTGGCGAGCAGCTCGGGCCCCGCGGCGTTGGCCTTGCGTGTGCTTAGCGTCCATCACGCTTCAACAAGCTGCGAGCAAAGAGAACTTGCTGAGGTGTCTGCGATGGGCTCAGCACCTGGGTGCAAGATGGTCTATGCAGTTTACGCAGCTTCGGAAAACGTTCAACTTGGAGCTGCTTCGTTCAGCATGCTTCTGCATGCGCTGTCCGGAACCCAAATGCTGGAAAAGGCACGGTCAAAGAGGCAATGATGGAGAACGCCAGCGCCAGAAGTGCACCTGGATCTCACAGCATACAACCCGTCGTCATCACGCCGGTCGGAACACACACCTTTTGTTCTGAGAAAGCGTTAGATGCTCTGCCAGCTTGATACTTTCTAGTGTACCTGCCGTGGTTGAGACTTGACTGACGTTGGCGGGAGGCACGTTCAAGCTTATGAGTGTAGCTATGCCTAACCCTTACACTTGCGAGGAATAGGAGTTCGATTTGAACTCCCTCCGCAAGTCCTGACATGTCATGCACGCATGCGCGCTAGTTTCGTTAGGTGTTGCGAATGTTGCAGCGCTTCGGGCTGATCTTGCTTCGGCAGGCCGGCGACTGCTCCTCGACATCGTTCGGTGCATGCCATTCAGGCCGGTGGCGAATGAGGAAAGTATGCAATTCTCAATCTTCTCTGTGCCCTTCTGGCACCCAAAGAGATGGAAGCAACAACGTCAGTTCTCTAATCTGGACTTTTCAAGGCCATTCGGAACATGGCTGCTGCCTGAAGCATCTGGCTTTCCTGGTCCCAGGGAGCTACACTTGCTCACCTGGGATCTTCGTTCAGATGCCATGCCAACTTTGGCAGGATTCGAGACTGCGACTCATGCTTCGGCAAGTTTTAGGTGTTTTTTCTCAAAGGTCTTTGACAACTAGATGTGTGCTGCTCATGCATTCCCAGCACCTCCAAAGAGCACAGCCACCGATAGCGTGGACCAGGATGGATGTGCCTGAAGACCTTAATCGTTCAGTGTCTAGCTCTACGAGCTTTTCAGATGTGCTTCCAGAAAGGAACCCGTCTCAGTTTGGAAAGAGCAGGGCAAGAGAAGCTTTGTCTGCAGGAACGTGGCAGAAAGGCGGCCGCAGAAGATCACAGCACTGCGAGTCGTCCATGATGACCTTTACAGATCAAGATCGCACTTGCTGGAAATCCATTGCAGAGGCTCCATGTCTCTTTTGCCAAGCAACGTGACTCCAGGCATACAGGGCCACGACTGCCGCCGCCTGATACTGGTCGTGATCCAAGAGCTCGGCCGACTGTTGGCATAAATTTCCTGCCGCAAGATGCTGCAAGGCCAAAATTTGTTGTGTCGTTTAGGGGTCGTCAAAGTCAGCATCCTGCTCTGTGGCTCTTCTGCTGCCACACAGCGACCTGCGCTGGGCTGGCCCAGTGGTCGCCCTTCTTCACATCTTCCTGCAACTCCATCACTATGATCAACATGTTTCTACCAACTCCTGAGGCATGTGTGCGGCAGCAAGCTCCTGGAACTGCGCGATGGCCTTCCTTAAGCCCCCATCCATACAATTGAGAGTCAAGCGATCGTTGGGAACAGGGGTGTGACAATGTTTGCTCCCAAGATGCTGGACTTTCCCACAGTTCATCATCTGTAGTTGCTGTCGCTGAAGGTCATCATATCTCAGCAAATAGAGGTCACTTTTGCATACGCTTGGACTGCACTTGTAAATGTAAAGGATGAGCAGACTTCATGAAAAATCAAAGTCAACATAAGCCAAATTGCTCCACCGGCAACTTGCAGCCGGAGATTTGAAGCCCGCAGCGCCAGCAGGGGACGGGATACTCATTTGCCACTTGAAGTGCAGCCTCATCCGCTGAGAGTCCCTGCACGTGTTGACAGTTGGGCAGGACAAAGTGACAAGAGAGTATGTGCAGACGGCCCAGAGGCCTGAAAGTCCACAAGCCAATCTACACGACCGGCACCTGGGGCTAGACTCTTTCCCTTCTGTTGCGAGCAGCAAAGTTGCCAAGTGCTTCTCCAACCGCCTTTCCCTTTGAGGCCGGGGCAGTTATGACCATCAGCATCGTTGGTGGCAGCTTGACCACAGACGTGGCCGACCGCCAACAGCCAAGTACTTGTGATGCAAAGACCCTGTCAAAGCGATGGCCGTGACGGCTCTCTGTGTGCTGTTGCCTTGCTCCTGTGATACTTAGAAATTAGAAACATGAAGCTTCTGGAAATGACGGACATGCTCAAGTGCACCTGAAGCAGCAGCATCACGTAGCAGGTCACCAGCTGGAAGCATGGCGATGTTCGGCACTGCTGGCTCAAGCGTGGTCTTCCGCACCCAATTATTAAGTTTGGCTCTCAGAGCATGTGAAAATGTAAAGGCACGGGAAAGGATCGTGAAAGTCTCAGCGTTCCCAGGTTTGGCTACGAGGAGCAAAGCGTGAGGCTTCAACCCGAAGTGGCAAAACAACACTGCAGCAAGCTTGCAAACATCAGCCGTGCTCGCGCATGTCAGAAATCCCGTCTCAAGCAAAAGCTCATGCACCCACAGTCTGGGCTGGCGCGCTGCGGGTAGATCCTACATGAGGCCTGTGGAGCATCTCCTTCTGGCTAGGACGTTTTGAACATGGATGATGGATGCTCAAAACATCCACATTGACTTTCACGTGGCAGGTCCTCGTTTCGCCTGTTCTTGCTGCAGGTCTGCTAGGGCCTTTGCTCCAAACCGCAACCGCATCGCGAATAGGTGCACCAACTTGCATGCCAAGCGCACCTTGCGGACCCGGCAGGGTGTGACAGTCCATTCTGGACCTTAGCTCTAAACATTGGATTTGAATCTTACGTTGACAGCACATATTTCACATCGTCCGTATGCGGAGCTGTTGCAAGCCAGCATCCAGGCATCCATGTACATCAACAAGTCTAATCTGTGGCCTTCCTAGCAGCTCTTGGGCTTTTTTCGGAAGAGGCTTGACCAGGCCAGCACGCGCAGTCTGTTTCGTACTCAGTCTAGCATGCTACTTGGTCTGCCTGAGTGCAGTGGTTTGTCAAGACCTTCTGCAAGTAGGTTTTGAGGCCATCGGTCGGTACGAAGGACAGAAATCAAGTTCATGCTGGTGGCGTATGGTCACCCTGAGTGTTCGGCACCGGGATCTGATTGCGTTCAGGATTTCGATGATGCTCATCTTGGCCTAAGCGACTGTATCAGCCAAGTACGAGGGCTAGTTGAGGGGTCCTGTGCTCCTGTGCCTCAGTAGAGACCACCAGGCCCACCATACGCTTGAACTCGCCCATGGACGGTTGAAGCCGTCTCCTCCATTTCACTCAAACAGAGCACCTATTTGTGTTAGAGCCTCTGCAAGGTCATATTTTGGCACGAAGGCGCTCTAATTTATCTAATCGTAAGGCATGGGAGGATCTGCTCTAGGAGCACAGCACTTGTGGCTGGAAAGTGGAAGCCAAAAAGGCACAAGCTTTGCAGGCTGAGCCAATGCTGCACAGAAGACAACCCCTTCAACCCTGCATTTGCAGAGAAATGCCCAGAATGCCAACCTACCGACCAGTGCGCGGTATGATAATGTATGTCACCTGGCCGACAGGCGGCGGGGCAGGGAAGCCACAAAAACTTATTAAGGAAATCAGGATTAAGAGCAGGCTTCCAGAACGTTACCAAGAAAAAGTTGGATTGAACTCTAAACTAAATTTGACCTGGTTCGGCTTGGCACAGTCGTCTTGCTCTTTAGCGGGGCTTGGCCCCAAGATCCAACTTGTGGCTTAGACCAACCGTGATTAGATGCATATAATGGGCAGAGTGCTAAAGAAAGGAAAAGAAGCGCACAAGCTGGCTCTGTCGAGGCTCTGCTCTTTGGAGCCAATGGCCATTGAGAAAAGCCGCGTGTCAAACGTGGCAAACGCAGGATTAGTGTCGCCGCCTCCACAATCCTTCAGAAAAAACCGGGAGATTATGCCACCCATTTTGGAGGCAAAAACAGCCCCATGCCTATGCTGCCTGTGGCCGGTCTCTGCATCGCGAATTCCTTTGCAGTAGCATTACGCCAAGTATCGCCACGTCGCATACCTCAATTACTGCTCGTCGCTCATGTTGAACCCCTGTGCCAAATCTCTGAGGATCAAACTGGAGCAGCTAAGCCCCGACCGATCGTGGGGAGTGCACGCGGTAGTGCAGAAGCTCCTCATCAGGCAGCAACGACATGCAAGTCAAATTCCTACGTCGTGCATAACTGATTGGTTCCACCACTTCAAGTGCTGTCCAGCAAGTCTTTCTTGAGACCCAGGAGCTCAGTTTCCTGTGGCAGGTCTTGTGCCAAGTTGCTTTGGAATGGAATGCTGGCCGTGGCCTGGAGCTTGCCCTGACTCTGCAAGCTCCGAATGTGATAGACGTGAGAGGCTCCACCTCGGGCACGCCAGGGCAAGGATGATGCGGAGGAGGATGAGGAGGAGTTGATGCATATGCAGCGCAGTAATTCTGAAATGTTGCAAGAAGAGCCACAGGCGTGTGTTTAAAAAAGAAAAGGGGAAAAGATGTAAAGACTGTGCCATGCTGTGCCGGTTACAAGCAGCTTCGTAAGGCTGCTGCGTGCCCGGCCCAGTTTTCCGGATATGCGATCATCATCCATGGCCTGCAGGAGCAGAGGGCATGACAATCCACAGCAACGCTTTGCAGCACTTCCCTCCTCGATATTGGCCCGGCAGACTGTCAGGCCACCTTTCAATTGTCTGCAGCTCCACAGGCTGACGCGAGCTAGGCTGCGACTTGCACGGTAGTCTGCCATGGAATGTGCATCCGAGTCGCGGCGCTGGAAGATCGCCTTAGCACAGGCTTCTCAGCAAAAGGCTAAGAAAGACCACCTTGCGCTGTCACACGCCAGGCCAGTTTGCTGCTGCCGGGACGCGGTTATATCCGACATGATCATTGGCACGTCCTCGCGTCAGAAGTGCAAAGAAAGACCCCATGGCAAGACAGCACGCAAAGCTGAGGACTGCCTCGACCATGTTGATGAAAATCACGGTGCACGAGTGATGAACGTCGTTGCTAAAACCTGCACAATTGCAATTTTGCAGCTCGATGAATACTCCAGCCTCTGAGTCTTCAACCTATCTCATTCCCCATGTGGACTGGGTTCTCCGCGATGTCCAGAAGGTCCTGCACCAATTTGGGACATTCATGACTACTGGTATATGCGAGCAGCAAGTACGTGGCTGCGTCCTCCTGACTCTTGGAGAGGGGCAGGCCAACCTCCAAATCTGTCGCTGACCTAAGCACGCATGCGACCGTCAACTTTTGCAACGCCATGGCAACACCGGTTGATTTGTTCACGCTTTCCAAACTGCGCTTGCAGGCTGCAGGTTTTTTCCCTAAGGTCTTCGACAACTGCACACTGCTCTTGCGTCAAGCTTGGAAGATAGCTGGAGGTCTGTCTCACCACCGGTGGCTCCAGCCCCGCTGGCTTCAGATGTGCCTGGCACGGACGACTGATTTGTGATGCTTGAAAAAACCTTTGCCATGCCAAGCCGGCCATCATCAGTGATCGTACCGCCAGGACCCAGCACTGCCAGGTTGCTTGGCATGACCTCAGGCGGTGAGAGAAAGACCTTCTGAGACAATGCTGAAACAAGAACGAAAGCACTTCTGAGACTTGGACGGAAGCCAAGCCACGGACAGTTGACACATGTCTCCTCTTTGCCTCTTAAGGACACAGACCACAACAGCGCTCAAGTCCAAAGAAGCAACAGCCTTCTGATGGCGGAGGCAGCCCACCACAGCGTCGTGCACACTTGGGAAGAACCATTTCTCGCCGACCTCGCAGCCCCCAAATTCAGCGGTTTGCTGTCCAGCTGGGCTACATGGCCGAAAACCGGGAGCTCATTCTGGGCGTTTGGCTGAGTTGGTCAGCCCACTTTTCCGGAAAGTCCTTCTGACATGTCCCATGTACTCCTTTACTAAGGCTTGCGCACCACAAAGTCTGGCTTGATAGGGCCGGCTCCTGTCTAGGCGGTTGCCAACCATTGCAAGGGCAATCTGGATGCCACGACCGCGGAAGTCATTGACAACATCCTGCAATGGTCTGACATCCTTGCTTGCAAATACATGTTGTCTCAGTGACCCTACACACATCCTCGAGAACATTGAGAGCAGTAGAGTCCACGCTAACAACCTAAGCGTTGGCATAACGCTGCAAACGCCTGCGACCGACTGCGTGTTTGTCGTCTCACTCAGACTCAGTGCTTCACAGCGGTCATTTCCAGGACGATGTACTCCGTCCGGTTGATGTGCTCAAGGGAAGAGATGCGCTCCTGCAACCAGTCCTCGCCGAAGGAAGGATGACATCCAATTGCACTGGAATTCTCTTGCGATGAGATGGATCCTTGATGAAGGAAGCGTTGGCGAAGTATCTGGGCACACGGTGCGATGACTGATGACTTGGGATTCAGCATCAAACTGACAATTGCCGCTGTGCGGCATGCTGCTCCCAATGCGAGCAATAAACACGTTCGGTACAAAGGAGCCGCTGCTCTCCTGGAGCTTTGACATGTTGCAAGTACAGATGAAAATGCAGAGATGACACTTGATGACACCTGCTTCACATTGCGGTAGATGGTTGTTCCGGGAAGCCTCCAAAGAATTGTAATCTGCGGCCTGCAGACATCAGATCACCAGATCTTTGCATAGCTTGGCTGGAGGTGCTACATTAGCCTCTTGCAAATTCACCCCATGCGCCATGACTTGCCGTGGACATAAAAACACGTCTCACCCAGCAAGAGAGGCATGCATCAGCTGAATTTAATGACTCATGATTCATGCAACTTTGCATGCCTTACCGATTCGTAAATGACGATGGACAGTGAGAGGCCGACAGCCAGAGCAATGCCTGATCAACGCTCTGCGTCATGCCCCGCGCAGATGAAGGCTTCAGATCAAACATCAAGTTTGGGCCGCTACCCTGAAGGACTCCAAGGAACAAGGTTCCTAGGAAAGCTGCCACCTGAGGCTTTGGCTTTTGCTACTCAGATCTCTCAGTAGAAGCTGCTGTCAGACTAACTGTGTCCCTGGCCCACAAGAAGCAGTCCTGCTTCTTGATGCGCCACAACTTGATGACCTTGCAGCCAGTCATGCCAGCAAAGCGCCATGCAAACACCGCTTTGGGAGGATCTCTGTTGGTTTGATGAGTCCTCAGCTTCCTTGTATGCCACGAGAGGTGCCACCTCAAAAGCTCAATTTGCGCAACATGCAAGTGACACCTGGACAAGCTTCCAGACAAGCTGCAGGGGGCTGCATCCTTTTTGTTTTTCCCTCTGGAATGCATGGACGAGGATCATCGCAGAGCTCGCTGATACGGCTGACACTTTTCACATCATTGCATCTAATCACAGACTAAAGAACTACAGTCTCAAGCGGCGCCAGGCTTTCGCGCAGCTGGAAGATCACGACCTGTCCAGAGCAAGCATCGAGGCCATGGCAGTCAGCCCACATCACCGCCACGTCAGCTCACATGGGGAAGCTTCCGGTCATGCCAGCTCCAGCAGCAAAAACTGCCCCTGCAATGCCGCCAACGACAGCTGCTTTCGGCCCGCCAAGGTTCGACATGAAAGCCTTGGAGGCTGGCTCCGCACTGACATTTGCAGCACCAGGCTTGATCTCCACCATCACTGGCCCCACATCTACGCCCAGCTTCTGGAGCCTTTGGTGCGTGTTGTCGCAAAGGGGAAAGCGAAGAGACTGCCAGCATCGGCACACTGTCAGCCGAGTGGGCTTAGTTCCGGTTGGGTAGACCACCTTTTCATGCACCACTTGGTACCCCAGTGTGTTGAGGGGCTCACCTGCTTTCCTCAGGACGCTGCCTACCACCTGCTTCGCTGGCTGCGAGGGCGAAGCTCCCATGACAGCACCTCAGCCTGCCTCAGCCTTGCGCCAAGACACGTTTTCTCTACACTGTGCTACTCCTCTCGAGCAGAAAGTGTCAGAGCACAGAAAACTGACAGCGCCGGCTTGGTCTCACAGTAAATGGCAGACGGATGCGGTCACAACATATCATGGGGCTCCAGCAGAGCTAATCACGATTGCAGCCAAGACCTGAGTCGTGCGGTGAGAGGCGCCACATTCACTTTACCAGGCATTGTTGCCGCATGTCAACAAGGTTGCTCGCTAAGCCCTGCCAGTCCACCAATCAGTGTCGCTTCCTGCGGTTTCGCGGCAACTAAGCCAGCTGCGAAGTCAGGCAAGTAGGTGAACAGCCGCGTGAGGAAAAGAAGCGTGCACCTGGGACACCAGTAGCTCAGTGACAAACGTTGGCTGGAGAAGGAAAATGCCCAAACAATGTGATACTTTGGGCAGCACAGCATGACCAGGGCTGTGATAAGGCCAGCGAATTGCGACACAGCGCCAGTCGCGTTGTTCACAGCCTTCACAGCATTGGCTCAAGTGAAGCACAGCTCATGACGATCAGTTGATGCAGCCGCTCTGGGGCTGATGCAGACCGCGAAAAACTACCCGTCACAGGATAAGAGGAAAACCTGATCAACATCAGCAAGGACCGCAGCACGACAGTCAGCTTCAACATGCTCTTTTTGCTTTCATTTCCGATGCGTCCTCATTCCTGTCTCCCTCTTTGATCCCGCGGCTGTTTCATCATGCATTTGCTCACTCGCTTGTAGTCTTGAACAAGCTTTCCGCTCCCCCTCTCATTTCGTCTCCAAGTCAGCTCTCCTTGAATGCCTACTTGTCATGCCGCTCCTTTCCTTCCTGACCTGCCTCCGTTCTTTGCTTCCTGTGTGCTTCATCTCTATCTCTCCTGTGCACAGAGATTTGGCAGTGGCTTGACATATGGATCCACGCTTGCATTTTGCAGAGCACACATGAAGAAGCTCTCAGCGACCAGCACGGCCCCCACCAGGTTGGACAACCCCAAGGCGAGAAGCTCCTGCAAAGAAGGACTCCCAGAGCTCACTCACATTCACTGATATTTGATTTGCACACGATTCCACAGCTGGGCCGATCCTGCCCGGCTTCGAGCTCGTAGCCGTGCTTGGCAGCCAAATTCTTGCCAATTGCCTGCTGTAAGCATGGCATTGAACCAAAGCGTTTGAGATGCACCGCGTCAACTGGCACAAAGGTCCCCTGCATGCCACGCTGTCCGAGCTTCCGGCAATAGACTCCATGTAGCCAATGAGGCAACACGAGAGTGCTGTAGGAAGCACCTGCTGCTGAGGGCATGCTGACATGACAAAACAAAGAGGAGCCAGGCCTTGGAAAAATTGGACAGGTCCCAGGCATCGAGGCTGAGGGGGAATATGCCGGAAGGAATTGGCCCGTCTTGGCCAACATAGCTCACCTTTGGAGACTGCGATGCAGAGTTTCTGGCACAGCCTAGGTGCGTTCAGCGTGGCCCCAAATTGCTCCCGCAGCGGCTCGCAAAGCCATAGCCTGCATGCCGATCTGACTCCTCTTTACATTGCCATCAGATTGCAACGTCTAAGCTTTGGACAGCAGAGTTCCAGCCTGAAAGTCAAACTCAAAGGGAACAACAATCCAAATGGAGCATGCAGGCACTCTCGAGTAGGCAGCCCGACCGCACAGCAGATTAAGGGGGCCAATGGTCCGAGAAGCGAGAACCTGCAAAGCAATCACCACAGAAGCTAAGAGTGGTGCAATGGCATCCATGTGCTGCCCGGCCTTGGCTTTCTCTTGGAGACCTCCTTTGCGAGGAGGAGGAAGTTCAAGGAAATCACTCCTGCTTTGGCCGATGCCGAGATTTCAGCGCAAGCATACCCAACCGTATCTCCCACGCCTAGAAGCAGCGTCATCCACTTCGTGTGTCCGATCTTTTTGGCCTGAATGATGCACCGCCGGATACATCGTGTGTGTGGGGATGAGCCATCTGCATTATACTGAACTGTCTTCAGCCCAAGTGCAAGGTCAATCAAGGTCACGTAGACGTATTGGGACCTCTGTCACTGGCCATGCTCAAGGCAGACTTACACTAGCCTCCAGCAGATCACATGCCACATGCTAGGAGCCATTCAGAGCCGCACTTGTCCAAGTGTATCCCCAGCATGTACTTCACCTGGCTCAATCCGATGATGATGGCCGCACCGCTGGTAAAGCCTCAGCACACATCTGCCCAGTTTCCATGTAGATGGCCCCTTAGCAAATAGGGATCCAGCCGCTCGTTACGGGATGACCCAGGAAAGTTACAAGGAAGCCCATCCTGGCGGGCTCATCTTCATTCTTCACTGCTTTGCCTGAACTTGCAACGTCCTCAAAATCATCGCCGCGATCCTCAGCAGAAACGGGTGAGAGCATTTTGAGACACCTCTTCCAAACAGCCAAGTTAACGCTAGGTGTCTGCATCAACCCCATGACGGCCGACGTGAAAATGGCCAGCTTTACGTACCTTGCCAAGCAGCGGCCACAAAAAAACATCATTTTCTTCAAACAAACTGATGAGGAGCACTCATTCCTGCAGAACTCATCCTCGGCAGAAGGCTGGCCCGTACTGCCTTGGGGTTGAGCAGGAGCCTCATCAAAGGAGTGCTGCAACGTCCACTTTCCTTAGGAACCGGACCAGCGTGAGGATCCCATCCTGGACCTCCCGAAAAGGTGACATCGCAGATGGTCAGAGGTTGAATCACAGCAGAAATCTAGCAAAAAGACATCGAACAGCCTACGTAGGGGCAAGCAACCTGCAAAGGCTGCAAAGGCATTGAGGCTCGCGCATGGGCCACTTTGCATCTGTCCCATGAGACCAGCATTGATCAGAAGAGACACCATGGCCACCGGCCCGACCTGGAATCGAAGGTGAAAGGTGCCTTTCTTGGAACCTGCTGAGATCCTCACTCTGAGCTCCAAGCTGCAAGTTGCCTCGACTGGCCAAAGACTGCATAGACCAACGCAGGCACACACCTCAGGGCTCCACTGGGCAGAGTACTTTACATCTTGCTCTCTGAGATTCTCAGACACGGACGCCGCGTACATCCCATAGATGTATGGAAGTCCTGCTGCCAACAGTGAGATGAAGATTCACATTGAAGCTCCTGCAATCTCTGCGTCCTGCAATGCCTGCATAAGACATACTTTGTGGGATGACCATGACACCAACCTCAATGCAAAAAATAGCCACATCGTCATTCTCGCCACTTAGTGCGGGTGCCCTGCCGTTAGACCCGCAATCATATCCGCGCGCACGCTCTTGCAAGACATTTCGCGGATCCAGGACAGCAATGGCACCTGGCAAACTGCTTTGGCATGAGATCTTTGATGCGCACAGGGCTGTTGACTCTGTGCAAAGACGTAAGACATGGTTGCGGCCAGGCTGCTCTCTGGTAGACGCTTCGTCCCAAGCGAGACTGTGCCTCAGTCTCAGCAACACAGCAGTGCAGCTGCTATCATTGCAGGATGAAGCTGGCCCCTGGTCTAGCCTCGAGAAAAGTGCTCGATATGGAGGACATGGAGGACCTTTCAGATATGCAAATGGAGTGGTCAAGTTGATGACAGAGTGAGAAGGCCTCGTCGAGGCTTCCGACGTGACCGGAGCTGGCTTCTCGCCACAAGCCAGAAGCTTACGAGCCCTCAGTTTGACCGTCATGGGCTCAATCTTGCACATACTTCTACTCTCAGTAAATCTCAGACAGTGGCCTTGCCATTGGCTTTGATTTTCGGCCTTGCTCTTGCAAGATCTGCGCTGCCTGCGCACACTAGGCTCGCCTATACTGCCGTCTCACGAAACAAGCCATCTGTCATGCCCTGCCTGCTGTGAGCGCTGCTCATCGAGCAAGACAATCTCAACAGGCTCCGTCCTAAGGTTGCGCAAGTTGTGCTGAAAAACACATACTGCTTCCATGAGATACCGCTGCTGGTGCATCCATGTCGATTGCGTGCGTTCACATTCACATGGTTCATGCTTCGATGCCCGGTACACTGTGCTGCAATCACGTACAGGTTAGACAGCAGCCACATGATCATGTAGCATCTCAAGGACTGTTGCTGCAGACTGGGCTGCCGCGCGCATCAAGCCCAACCACATCCACGCCGCGAACACTGCAGGATGCAAAGGTTGCACTCTAGGCTAGCAGGCACCGCTCTGCAAACGCTGAATGGAAGAGGCTGAAATGTTAGATCGCAAGAATTCTACCAAGACCTCATGCTCTCACGCCAGAAATGATGCTGCTTCCCATGCAGCTGGACGGGTGTGAAGTCTGGGCAGGTACAGGTGCGCTTAAGAAAAGCGAACAGTCTACGTTGTCGAAACCAAATCCCAGCCTCGTGGACTTGCACGGTCCAAGCTGTCCTGGACCGGACAGTATGCAACAGATGCAACCAAGCCTGCGAAGCGCAGTATCTCGGTCCTACAGCAGCGGCGTGCATACCTGCTCAAGAAAGGTTCAGCTTCGTACTGTAGCATGCTTAACATGATGTTGCCACATGAATGCCGGGCCAACGCTGCACTGGCCTGACGCCATATGTTTCTCTCAGACCACGCTCTTGCGGCGCGGGAGAGAATCAGAACAGGCTCTGTCTTCAGAGGCCTGCCCAGTGCAGGCACGACACGGCTCTGCTGTATTTTAGATGGCTCTGTTGAAGCTTGACAGCCCTTGGTGCACACAATTTTGTGCGCATCACGCAGTTGGTTTGCACTGTACTCCCCAGCTTCCACTTTGGCTGGAGCGCAGCTGCTGATTCTTTGCTCAGACAGTTTTCCCACTTTTCAGACTCGGATTGGGTTTGCTTCACGTCAGCTCAATGGCCCTGGGGTCATCAGCAGCTTCTCCTGCAAGGGGTCATCTGATCGGACCAAGTTTACAACAGGGGGCTCAAGCTTGGCTCTCAGCAGCAACCCCTCGAAGGGGGTACTGGGTCCTGCTGGAAGCCGGCGAGCCCGAACCAGCAGGAGTTTGGCCAAAAGGCCAAGAAGGCCCAGTGCCTGCAAGCAGACAAGCCGTAACAGCAGTAGCTCTAAAAAACACCCATAGGACCGGAACTGTTAAAAGGCAAGCAAAGGCAAGTGATTTCAAAAAATTGCACAGCAACTGGGTACTCAGAACGGAACCAGCAGGCTTGGCAGCGCTATCTTCACAAGCCTTCGGCCTGTCTGACAAGCATTCTCGAATTTTCACGACGTTCCAGATTTGCTGGCATACGAGGCGCCTTCGAAAGCATTGCAGGGGGCAAGGGTGCAAGCAACATGCACCACTTCCGACTCCTGCAGAGGCAAAAAATGCTGAGAGGGAGACAGGGAGAAAGAGGTCAAATCTTACCCTAAACAGAAGCGGAGCTCGCCACTAGCGGCATCCAAAAACCAGAAAGGAAGCATGGACCATGACGGCCGCTCGCACAAGAGGGATGCAGGAGGCTGCAGTGTCCTGGCAATTTTCCAGCGGCTCTTGCCAACGTCTACGCGCGCGGGTTGTGACCTGGGGCAATTCAGAGAGTTGGCTTTCTACTCAAGCAGTTTAAGCTCTGCTACGCTGCCAAGCGACCCCGCAGGTGCTGTCGCACGCGCCTTGGCAACCATGCTGGAGGGTTTTGTTTGAAATCTCGAATGACGATTTTCCTTGCTGAGAGCAGCGTCAACAACAGCAGCAACAGCAGCAGCAGCTGTCGTAGCAATAGCAGCGGCACACCAATTGCCTGTCCTCGTCCTTCTGAGCATGCCACCTGAACCTGATTCTGGTGACACGGTTACCGCTACACTTGAGTCACCTGATCCTCCGGTGTGCTTGCCTTATCTCGGTTGTCAATGCTTCTTGCTGGATACTAGGCTACGTAGCGAGTGGCCTCAGATGAACCCTTCGGCGCGCTCCTTCCATGAATTGCGGGTTCAGCATACATGCAGTCGATCTCCTGTGGCTTGATACCCTGTCCCTGGCCCAGCTGCAGCCAGCTATCAGCTCTGATTCGCAATTTGATTGGAATTCGAGCGCTTCATGCTGTCAGCCTGTATCAATGAGAAAACTCTCCTCTGGTACAGCCCTTGGGGAAATCATGTAAATGGGAATGCCAAATCACCTCAAATAGCCGAGAACATTGAAAACAAGTGCGGAATCTAGCATTCAGCCAGACAATCTGACCAAATAAGCTCAAGCCGCAAACACCAATCTCGGAACATCTCGAAACCATGCAAACCAACTGGCAATATGGTGTGAACCTCTCATGTTGACTCCAGGATTGACATGTTTTCTGCAGCTGGACTGCTGTCCTCCCAGTCCCTCCAGTGGCAAGGCAGGCCGGTGTCATGCTCTTTGTCCTCCTCGTCCTGGCGGTCTTCTCATTTTCATGTGGGGGTTGCTGGAGAAGCGCCCGCATTGTTTTCAACATGATTGAACTCTGAGCCCTTTATCCTTTGCTGGCTTTGTCAGTCCCTGCCTCGATCAGGTCTAAGACGGCCTCATCCTCCGGAGCCAGTGGCAGGATAGGCTGAGGAGACCCTCCGCCTGGCGGAGTGCTGGAAGTGCTGCTGGTGGTCTCGTTGATCGTTGCGGTGGTGGGAGTGGCTGCACTGGTGGTGGTGGTGCTTTGGGAGATTGAGCTCGTTGTGCTCGTTGTGACGTCAGTGTCCTCGCCATCTTGCGTGGTTTTGGCCCCGGACGTGGTTGCCGCGGGTGTGGTGGTTATGGTTGTGGTGCTGGTGCTGGTGCTGGCTTCGCTGGTTGTTGAAGCGGCGGTGGTAGTGGTGGTTATGGTGGTGCTTGGGACTGTGGTCGTCTCCTCTACATCTTTGCTGGCATCACGACTGATTGTCACGTCGCTCCACAAGGCCTCAGCAACGCAGCAACACCACTCGGGAGTGTCAAGTAGCGTCATCACAGTGTGACAATGGAAACTGACTTCCAGCCTCGCCATCATCGTTGAGATACCGCAAAGTTAGCTCAGTTTTGGTGGCCTTCAGCAGGATGAAGCCGTAGTCCTTGCAACCCATCCCGCAACCCTCAAGACATGCAGCCGTCATCCATCTACTCTTAACGCAACCTGCCAATCGGCAAAACTTTCAAGCCGTGCCGACTTGGTCTTGTCAAGCGTCAGGCGTTCCGCGTTGGTGCACCGTGTAGGACATGTGTCCTGCTGATTGTTTACTCTGCTTTTGCCATGCAGACCTCACAGCCTTGGCGTTGGCATTTAAGATTGTCTGCAGAAGACTAGGAATCTGGGCAGCTATGCAAACTTGGTCGAATCTAGAGATGCTAAATATTCAGGATAGCCTCAGATAGCCAAAAGAAATCCACCGTTCTATGCTTCCTGCAGTTCCTGCATGCGAAGCGCTAGCGCACGGTTCTGAAGCGGGAGTGCTTCTTACAGCCAGCCTCCACCGTTCCACTGGTAGCCTCCGCCGGCTCCAGTGATCCCACAAATCAGGTCACCCACTTTGTCCATACGCAGCTGGTGGACGTGTCCAGCCAGCACCAACGAAACGCCATGCTTCACAAAGAAGTTCAACAGTGCTGGACCTTAAATGTCTGCACGATTGCCTAATGCGGGCTCTTCTTGTATCTGGCATCTCCAAGGACTCACTCAGGTCAGCGCCAAGCATCTCGCAGGGATGGTGGGCTATCACCCACTTCCTTTTGGCATCTTACCGGTGCGTTTTTTCCAGAACTCAACACCAGGGCAGCGGCGGCTGCACTTGCTCTCATACTAAATGAGATGCCATCAAAAATGGGGACCAAGAATCCACTGCGCATCTGATCTGGGCAACTCCCTGGCAAACCATGGATCAAGAGAGTTTGGAGAGGTCTTCACTGAGAGGCCTCTCCAGCCATGCTTTCTGCTCTGATTCAAGCTTCACATGGAAATCTTGGCATTGTGCTTCATTGCCTCATCTCAAACACTGTGCCTGTGTAAGCATTAGCTTCAAAAATGCCTTGGGGCCACCTTGCAGCTAGGCCACACTCTTTCTCACTTGTGATTTGCGACTGTCCATGGCACAGAGAGTGAAGGTTGACGCGATTGGAATCAATGGCAAAGATGTCGATCTTGAAATCCTGTTCAACCCGCAACATGCATCCCATCTGCTGCGAAGGTCTCCCCTTCAAGCATTGCCTGGTACTTGAAGCGCTTTTTGTAGAAGCGGTTGGGCATCACCCAGCGCTTCCTTGGCACGAACAAGAACCATTCGATACATACCGCAGCCACAGCAACACATAGCTGCTCGTCCACCGCGTCATGATGTCAAATGTCCGCCAGGCCACTGCTTCTCAGCCTCAGGGGACAGAGTGGAAAGTTTGGCAGAGAAGCGAGAGGTGAGTCTTTCGCCAAGCTGCTGGGAATTCCCAAGTTTTGTTGTTGTCATAGTCCATCTGCGCGCCACTACAGCCTCCTGTGCCACCTTCAATCAGGCATCCGTCGCACCTTGGCATCCAAGCTAGAAAGCACTCTGTCGGAATGCTGCACGTAACTTCTTGTAGTTGCATATGCGTGTGTGAAGATTCACGTGTGCATGTGATCCGAAAAACCACGAACTGACGTGACAGGGCACGCATCCAATCAGAAAGTACAGGGGGGCACTGGCAATATAGAATGCAGTGCAAAGTCTGAAAAAATCAATTAACAATCAAAAAATTAAAGTCGAAGATCAAAAAACAAAATCGATTATCACGGGGCATCGAAATAAGTGTCAAAAATCAAAATCAAAATGAGGATCTCAAAAAATCAGATTATTCAATTGTGAGTGGCCTCTTCAATCTTCCTTTGCTTCTTCCACCTCCGAACCGTAAGGAATTGATTGTTGCCATCCTCGCCCATGCAGTAGAAGAAATCCTCGTTTGTATGGCCCTTGCTTACTTCTTGACGTGGGATTTCCCTTCCTTGGGTTTTCCTCTGAAGCAGAATAATTTGATTTATTTGGTCCTTATGTGATTCTATTTTGATTCTTATTTGATTTTTGTTTGATCCACATCCCCAGAATGCATACCATGTCTCCACGATTCTGGGGAAGGCACATTCGGAGTATTTATGAGCATGACGAACAATGGCGGCCCACAATCTTATCAACAGTTAGCTCATAGCCATAATAGGGGTGTCAGCACCACTTAGCTCAAGGCGGTATCCATACAAGCCCAGTCCCATTCTCATCTTCATAATGCTCCTCTTCTACATACACCAAGCTTCGCACTCGTGGCCCCCATAGTCATGGTTGCCAAGCACCTTGGACATAGAAACTGCTTCGGCGCGCCTGCAAACCCCTCAACAAAAGATTGCTTTCCAGTGCTGATAGCCTCACACCCCGTACCAGCACTACCAGTGCTAACGTCTCAAGCCACTTCACTAATCCTAGGCAAGCTTGACACACGTAAGATTCATATCACTCTAGTGACACACACCAAGGGCTACAGTAGGCAACGCTGAAGGATATGCAATCCACGAAATTGTTGGCTGCGCTCTTCACCATTCTGTGGTCAGGGGCCTGAACATACGAGGCCGCAAGCTTCCCCGCACGTCATGCCTCATGTTTGTCACCTGTAATACCAGCAGGCAGCGTTAGCATTATTGTCCGCTGGCAGTGGCACTGGCAAAGAATTCGGGGATATATACATTATATATAGTGCAAAGTAATGTTGCCATGGCACATTGATCCAGGGAACGTGCAGCTCCTCGTGGTGATAAACATCCTCGAACCTAGAACGGAATTCAAACAAGACTTGAGGAGAAGAGGTGTTTGAAGGCTTGAGAGAGGTTGAACCACGGGACTTATCAGCAAAAACCGGCTTTACGTTTCAAGGTCTCTGCGCTCGAAAGGGCATGAATTGACACGCGGGGACATTTTGTCACCCTTGGCAAGTTTAAACTTCGAAGGTGATTGGTTTCCACACTGTGCAGCGTGGGAGTATGAGAACACAGGAGCTGACTTCAAGAGTGTGGGAGCTCAATAGTCTCAAGGTCGAGGGTTTGTAGCAGGCAGCACAGGCAATCCTATTGCTACTCTCAGAATGTCAGGGCTCTGTGTGAGTGCGGATCATCGAAGTCTGAGATAGCATGCACCAAAAAACATCCTTAATCATTGAGCGAGACTAAGGACTAAGCTGGGTTGCTGTTAAGGAACTTAAATTAAGTTACTATATTGGGGCAACCCTATTATTTACTATATATAACCATTATGGTAACTTAATTTAAGTTCCTTAAAAACAACCCAGTAAGTAACTAAGGCATCCACATGTAGCGCCAGTTGAGGTCGGAATCATCGACCACTCCACGCAGGTAGAAGTTGTCTCCCACAGACAGCACGGCATCTATGCCGCCAACCTGCTTCGCCTGGGTTGCTGTTAAGGAACTCAAATTAAGTTACTATGTTATCCACCATAATGGAGAATCAAATGGAAAAGAAAATGGAAAATGAAATGGAAACTGGGGGAATATAAGGATTAAGGAACCTAAATTCAGTTACTATATTGGGGAAACCCTACTATTTAACTATATATATATATATACACCCATTATGGTAACTTAATTTAAGTTCCTTAACAGCAACCCAGTCGCTGATGCGGCCATCTGGTCAGCGACTCTATACCTCACAAATCACGAAGACCACACAGGACTACAAGACAAGTGGAGCGCATAGATTCTCCAAGGCAGGCTGCGACGTTTTCTCGTCTGCTGGTTAGTCCTTTTCGTTTTAAAACGGATTTACATCAAGAATTTGAGAGACGTGTTCTCTGTGACTCGTACCAAGAGTCCAAAGTAGGTCAGAGGACATTCAACAAGCACAAGATTTTCATTCTGAGTGAGCATTGTTTTATACTGTAGTTTGGAGGATTGATCAACACTGGAAAGCAGAATGTCCGCAGGTCTGGCAGGAATTTCTGCAGAACCCCCCCTTACCGGCTTATTGAGCTTCTCCGGCAAATTCTATCAACTACTAGAAGGTTGCCTGGGCCGTTTTCCTTCGACGGACACCCGCAATTTCTGGACTTCGTGCGCATTCCGTTGTAGCCTCCTAAAACCAAATTCAATCGCAAAAGTCATGCGGCTCATATATGTTTCTACTACTGCTTCGAAAGTCTTCTTGAAATCTTCCCCGGCTTTCAGTGGGTCACATGGATTTCTCGGCAAACCTATACTTTTACGGACTGTAGGTTCTGAACATGTTGTTGTTGCTGTTGCTGTTGCTGTGGCTGTGGCTGTTGCTGCTGCTGTTGATGTTGCTGCTCTTATTGTTGTTGTTGTTGTTGTTGTTGTTGCTGCTGCTGCTGCTGTTGTTGTTGCGCATTGTGTTCTCCACATGACAGGGACAGAACCTTCGCGGAGCCACTACGTCGTCATACGTCGTCACTACGTATCAAAGCTACCTCCAAAAACAACATGCATACGTCGGCCGGCAAGAGTACAAATCAGACCAAAATCTCATGTGAAAAGGTGTTGTACACAATGGCGCGACAACGGCTTTGAATGCATCTAGCGCTGTCGCAAGACCTTCAGGGGCTGCAACAAAGCGACGACCACGACGACAACGACGACGAAGACGACGACCACGCCCAGGGAATTTTGGGAACTCGCCTGCCCACAACAAAACGACATTTGTGGAGTGGTCTAAAAGGAGTTTGGTAAGTATGTGGTCGAAAGTTTTCTTCAAGGTGATGGCCAGGATTGAAGCGGAGACCCACAATGCTGATAATGCTTTCTTTTGCAAGGGTTCGAGCTTCGTGTGGAAAACGTGCGACAAGTACTGCACCAGGATGTCTGGACGAAAATGGAAACCCATTGATGCTGATGCTGCCGGTGCGCACGACGAGGACTGACTCCTTTGCATCTTACATGCAACCCCGCATCTTGCGGGGGCTTGGAAGGTCTGAAAGAGCGTTAGAGCCATTGGCTTTGGAAATAGCCAGAAAGAAGCTCTTTGAGAACACGGGGCGAACAAGGGAGAATCTGCCAGGCCAAGAAACTGTGCAAAGGCGTGCTTCCAAAAGCGTGGCTGGGCAGGATCACAATCTGGCCTCGACTGCGCACAGCTTCACGGGACATGCTACAGATACTCGTTGCATGGGTTTGCCGCCTCGTCACGTGCGCCACATCCCTGGATCGAATGTACACAGGTGATGTAACGAGCCGCAGCGCAAATAGCCTGCCAGACTTTCAGGTTTGAAGACAAGTCTGCGTATCTTGTCCAGCTTCATTCGACGCATAAGTTCTGAATTTGTTGTCATGATGCTTCCGATGCTAATCAAAAGCCAAAAGAGTGCTGAACATCCAGCCATCAAGTCGTACAGGCAAGCAGTGGCCTGCTCGCTGGTAGATGTTTTCCCAACTTGTGCCGCGCTTTCGCTCATTCACAATGAACTTGACGCATTTCGACATGAACTCCTCCCAGGTCCTTGGAACATGTCACGGGACATGCAAGTTGCAAGCACCAGTCATTCAAAAAAACCCTGAGGGTAAGGCTCGTAGGGGCAGGTTGTAGCACCCCAGTCCCCGAGAGCTATCATCCATGCCACTTTCCTGATCCAGGCTAAATTTGCTTTGTTCAAAGCAAGTCTCTGGGACTCTGAGTCCAAGCGTCTTGTTGGCTCGGCCAGCCTTGGCAGGCCTCCAATCAGCTTCGCGTGTCCTCCGCAGCCTCTTCCTGGCAAAGGCAGAAGAGCTCCGTTCGCGGAGTTCCTGTATGTTCCTGTGTTTTTTTAAGTAGAATTTTGGGCAAGGCACCCTGCACCGCAGTACAACTTTGGCGGGTAGTTGCTTGGAGGTTCCACAGCCAGCGGATCGAACTCAGTGTCCTCTCATTGCATGGCATCCTCACTTAAGAGTTTCGGCCACAGACAGGCCTGCACCATGGCAATCGTCTGGTCTACAGCAGCGAGGTGCCGCAGACCCTGAGCAAGCTCTCATTCAGCAGCATATCTTATCAGTTAGACTTCCGGCCTCATTCCTCACATCTTCGATGGTGCAGTTCAAACCAGCCACACAAACGTCGGCCACATACTGTGCCAGATAATAGTCAACATGCCCTCGAGCAAGTCCACAGATCAGGAGCAGAAGCCCAAGCATCGCAGCATGGCCGCTACTTTCATGTTACCTCCGTAGCCACCGTGGTAGGCTCATAGTATCCTTTTATGGGAGGCTTCAGCTGGCTTGTGTGCAATGCACTTGGCACATGATAGGAGCCAAGACCGGGCTGGCACGGAGCGTTCAGGTTCCACGATGCAGACCATGCTCTCTGTGCTCTGTACGCAACTCCACCTCTTTGGCTGTGGTGGAGGGTGGGACCAGAAAATGCATCTAGACCTTTTCCTGAGAAATTTAGGTGGGTTGGGACCACTGTCTTAGAAGATCGCTGCGCTGCCACGTGGTGTAAGGTGCGAAGATGTTATTGGCTTCAGTTTCGATTGGCATCCAGAAAGATGCCTTCCCAGACCTATTTCTAGGCCCGACCTGTCCCAGAAATGGGCCCGGCCCCAAAAGAAAATGGGACAGACCCACAGTGACCCTGTCTCCCACGGACCTGTTATTAAAGAGGGTGAATGGTAAGCAATATAAGGAAACTGTATCTGAGACCTGAGAATGCACAGCAGGCTCAGGAAATTTACAGCTCCCGGCCTGGGTGCGCTGGGAGCTCGCACCAGTCAGTTTGAGCCAGAGACGCACTGGACCACCCAAACCAGGAAACCATCTTGGAGGCCGGTAACATGGTCGTGCAGTACATACATGGCAGAACCCAGTGAGAAAGATCGCCAATGACAAAATGTTGGAGTCTAAACCCTTCAACCAATGAATTCTGAATTCGCCGGGACGTCCGAAGAGATTAATTGCCAACAACTCTACAGCTACTCTAGCTGTTGCAACTACAGCTCACAGGAACTGCATGATTCACAGATCCTATAGCGGCCCATCGCGAAGCCGGCAAGGCTGGGAACCTGACTCAATTCAGTTCATGTGACACAGCAAATCTGAACTTGAGGACGCATTCTTCTCCTACTCAACATGTTTCAGAGCAGCCTCGCGATGGCAGCTCGGGGTGCGTTTTGTGGAAGCTCTGCTGTTGTTCTGTTGAGGTTTGGCTGTGTGTGGAGCTGGAGAGTGGAAGCTTTCTGGCTCGATGAGCTGCAGCTGCTAAGCAGCTTTGCCGATGTGGAGGCTTGACATTCCGCAGCACTGTGGAAGGTTGTCTTTGGCCATGTTCCTGCTGCAGCAGTCTTGAGCAAGGAGCGCGCAGGCAGCTCAAAGGCTGAATCTCATACGTCCACGGTGGTCAAGCCGAGCTATGATGCGGCAACAGACCTAACTGGCCACATCATGGCTAGGTCCGCAGCAGAAGTCACAGAAATCACCCAGTGTGTCCCGGCCCAAAACATTGCCAAGGAAGACCTGTAAGTCGGAAGCCTTGCGCTGCTCTTCAGCATAGGCCTGAAGCTGTGCATCGCGGGGTGAGTCCAGGCCTGTGTGAAACTAAAGCGCCTGGGATGCTCGTTGTAGTTCTGCCTGCAGTTGTTGCAGCTTCGCACTTTGTGCCTGCACCAGCTGAAAACGCTTGCAACAAATTCACAATTTCAGCGTACTGATACTCACTGCTGCGCGAAGCAGAGAACGCTGTTTTGTCCGCTGACTCTGGCGGCACGCCAGGCTGCAGAGCAGCAATCCGAAAGTCCTGCTATTGAAAGCACTTGAAGCTGACCAGAGCTTGGAAATCTTCAAAGCCGAAAAGTCCTCTGCAACCCCAAAGGTTTCACGGGGCAATTCGAAGACCACGAAATGCTCACGGACCTAGGCAAATGAGTTCCCTGCTATGAGATCATGATGTGAAATTCTCCTTGGGCTTCCAGCCCGTGGTGCAGGCTCCGCCTTCCCTTTCAACGTCCAGGTTTCCTGGCATCTCTTGCAGTTGCTTCAGATCTGCTGAGCTTCTGCCGGTCTGCTGTGTGCACCTCTGCAGCCAAGCGAGCTGTCACCTAAACAAAATCAAGGACAGTGGCCAGCACACAGCGGAATGGACGAATTGCCTGAAGCCATCCGCGGCCAGTGTGCTCAGCTCTACGACCCTGTACCACCTCAGCATCCCACACCCTTCGAGAGTTTTATGGAGCTTTCAAGACTGCCTGGCAGTAGTGCGGCAGAATGTCCCACCTGTCAGAGGAGCCTTTTCTCCGGCATCGTGCAATAGCATTAGGTCATGGGCCTCTGAGCACCGGTTGGCCGTTCTTTGGACCTTAGGAGTCAAGCGAAATATTTCCTTGCCCAATGCCTTCAAAGGACTTGCAGCGTACTTTACTAAAGGAAACTACGAAGGAAACAGAAGTATATCCAGAATCCAGAGGTTGGTTGTGCGATCTGGAGTTGAAGGCAGTGGACTTGAACGTGCTGACTTGGCAAGGTTAGATAGCAAAATTCGTGGGTCGCAGGTTGTACCGTGGCTTTGGCGGGACAGATCAGATTGTCAAGGATAGGGCATACGCAGGGACACTAGAAGTTCAGAGGGGTACCCAGAAATCAGTGCAGGGATACGGGGTCTTAAGAAGCCTTGCCCAGACGCATGTGTACAGCGGGACTGCAGAGAGAACAACCTGCAAGGAAACTCTTGAATTTAACTTGAACCCGGAGGTGCCTGGAGTCCAGCTTCCAAAAGCTGCCAAACGTCTTCTAAACCCCGAACGACCGAACAACCCCCTTTTCAAGAGATGAAGCTGAGATCTTGAAGAGCAATTTCTGAGATAGTCACATTGTCAATGGCAAAAAGCATCCCACCAAGTACAGGCACCTGCTCTAGCCTACCCCTCTCTGGGCGTCATGGCCATGCAATGCGTGCTCCTGTGGAGAAGAGGTCAGGTCTGGCTTGCCCTGCTTTCCTGCCAGATGGAAGCGAATTGCAGGTGCAAACCAGAAGTGAGAGCCAGTTTCGTCCATGGCCTCCGCAAGGCTTCAACCTGACCAAGAAATGTGGATTTCCTCAGATTATCAAGAGACAAGGGCGCATGTCATAGATATCCATTTTTCAATACTTGCTGAGCCTGGTGCCCTGGAAATCTAAGCTTACAGGACTTCATTGCCCAATCGGCACACTGAAGCCTGCCTCAAGGAAGTGTAGTCCAGCAACACGGTAAGGTCAAATTAGTCATCAAAGCATCTACAGCTTCCTCGGATTTCGCCTGCGCTGCCCTTGACATGTCTGTCACGCGGCGGGCCTAACAGGCTCATAGGCTCAGGACAGCCGGCCTTTAAAGAGCTTCTCAGCTATCCCAGTCCCTGCCCGCACTGGTGGCGAGCATTGCTGCTTTCAGGAGTTGCCAGGTAACGTTGCCAAGCTTCATCTCCTTGCAAACTGCAGAACCACGAAACCTCAACAACACAGCACTTATCCAGAATCAAGATGTTGCAGTCCTTCAAATAAACATTGCCATATCCGTGCGCTTAATCTTCACAAAGAATGTCCTGGCACTGTCTGCCATAACCAAGAGGTGAAGAAGGTCACATCGCCTGCCTGATTTGAAGCGGGCCGAAGGTGAAGTCATCGGATTGCAGCGGCGTAGGGTGCACAGGTGATTGTTCCACGTGCCAAGCAATACGGCGCTGCCTTCTCTCAGGTCACTGGCACTCACAAACATTGCCAAACAAAACCAGTTGAAATCTGCCTATCAAGAGCGGCAGAGTCCTATGACTAGCAAACGCTAGATGAAGATGCAATGAGGCACTCGACTTCGGCCCGGGTGATTGTAGCTGCCAGCCCACGCTCTTCAATGGAGATCACCGTTGCACCTGTCTGCACAGAAGATTCATCTGAAAAACTGTTAAAGAACAGCAGCACGCGGCCTACCAAGAGGGACTTGATGTTGACGGAAGTGGGCTTTGACAACTCGGAGTCCTAACAGATCAAATGCTTCTGAAGATTTACAAGTTGTAAGGACAACCAGGAATGAGACCTCACCAAGGCCGAACTGGTGCCCAATGCGGAGGAGGATGTGCTCGTCATCCCATTGGGCGAGGGTGAGAACCTCAGAGGTGGCACCGACAAACTTTGAAGTGCTCGTCGACAGGTGCTATGGGCAAGGCCTCCAGATTTGGAGGCAAAGCACCCTGCATGGCAGAAAAGGATCTGGAGGGGCTGCCTCAAGGCACGGCAACATGGATCTTGCAAAATGTCCAAGATTCTTCTAGAATATTTGAAAAAATGCCAACGGACATTGGCTGCGTGGCGGCTTTACGGTATGGAGCAACGCTTCAGAAGCCAAAGAGCCCATGCTTAGTGTGCAACCTTGACCCATTTTGAAACGGGGATGATGGCCTTGCCCGAAGAAGGGCTGCACTGGCAAGTAAAGGCGGTCCATCAGGGGACGCCAGTTGCGCGCTGCTGTCGCGGGCGCACCGAAGTGGAGCCAGTGCTGGCCGCGAACCACCTTTGCAACAAGCAACTCATTTGAGGCAAGTGCTGAAAGGTTACAGATTGCTGTATTATTGCTATATATTGCTATACATTACTACACATTACAATATATCACTCTATATATATATATATACACACATTACTATATACTACTAAATATAGTAAGATATTGCTATATATTGCTATATATTATATCTCACTAGAAATTCCTATATCTTACTCCATCTTACTATATGTATTGCTATCATAGTTATGATTAGTATTTGAATATTATCATTACTAGTATTTTTATTGCTCTTACTGTAACTAATCCGAGCAACAAGACCAGGCCCATAGTGTCGTCCCTGATCGCTTCCCAGGTAGGGCGTCACGTACTGAGTCTCGTTGAGAGGTTCGCCTACGCCACGGGCATCGTCCTCACACCGACTACTTCAACCAGGGGGCTTCAAAATCACAACTATGAGGGTTTTGGTGTAGATTATATTATGATTTTAAAGTGATTTTCGGTGATTATATTGATAATTATGAACGAGCAAACGTCCTTCAGGAGCCTGCGGTGCACCATGAGCTCGATCTCGCCATCCCGCACACAGCCGGTGCCTGCCTGTGACAGCCACTCCTTCTCGGGTCTCAAAGCTGTCAGGAAGAGATGCCTCGGAGACATCTGTCAGCACAGTGAGCTGAGCCGTCTCGTCCCTGACATGATTGGAAATCATCTCATGCTTTTCGAACCCTCCTACACTGCAATCAAGTCTGCTTGCCACAGACGGCTCGCTTTCAGAAATCAAGCTTTACGCTGGCTGGCCTTATGAAAAGGGATGTCGTCACTGGGTAATAGTTGCCTGTTGGAACTCAGCGCATGTCTGGGTTGGCGATCAAAGGCTCCTGAGCTCTTGCCTGCAACTTCCTCAGTTTGGTTGAGCTTCCAAGTCGGCCTGTAATCGCCTTAGCCAAACGAAGAATGCCATGGTGAACACTCGGAAGTGCCACACTCTTGCCTCCGGGCCACGCTTTCGTTGCAACATTTCTCGCCCATTGCTGTCCGTGTAGCAAACGCCGCTGTTCTTGAGGTCAGTGCTTATTCGGGATACCTCAAACAGGGTTTCGGATTAGATTGGTCGTCAATTCGCTGCTCTGTCAAGGACGCTGCAATCTCTTTTCCCCAGCCATCATCCACGGGGATCTCACCTTATGTCTTCTCTTGAAGATGCACGAACCACACCGACAGAGCAGGTAGGGTGCGCAAACTTCTCATCCCGATGCAAACAGCCCCGGATGCTGGATCCGGAAAGGAAGGCCCCAAGCTGTCCTGCTAGGTCCATCGTGCGGCTCAGCTGCGTACAGTGTGCGTAATTTCCACATGACGCGAACCACGTGCCAGACGTATCCGCTGCGAAATCCAGGAGCCTACTTCTTGATGGACCTGGCACAAGGCGTGAAACGAAGGACTGTCCGTGAAGTACTGCACTCACGTGCATGTAAACAAAGCTACTGAAAAGACCCTAGGTGACTTGAAACGGTTTACGCCTTTAGAGACAGGGAAAGATGCCTCATCAGCTAGCGGGCCGCGGAATAGCCGCATGAAGGGCAAGCCCGTGAAGACAGGGAAGGCCTCTTTGCGGCGCCCAGCAAGTGTGATGCATGTGACACCATGAGAGTGCACTCTGGGCTCCTGGGAGCGGTTGGGCCGGAAGATGTAGGCACCGCTCGCCTGAGAGCTCTCCGCGTTGCCCAAGGATGCCTCGGTCCCAGCACAAAGCACAGCAAGGCAGTGAAGTGCTCTCGACTGAGAAAGGGCAAGTCAAGAAACGTTGTACCACATCCACGACTGCTCCGCTCTTGCCGAAACTTTGCTGAGCTTGTCGGTGATGTTGGCCAGCATACCTGCAGCGTCACATGTACACAGTTGAAACCCGGGGCAATACTCCACACCCCATGTAGCTACTACCTCCTGCCGAGACACCAGCACAGAACCACAGCTTCAAATTTTCGTTCTCAATAGCCTGGCAAGCTGACTCTTGGCCAACAGCTGTTTGTGAATCTGCTGTACCTGCCTGACAGTCTCCTTGAGAGATGTTTGCAAGCTGTGCTTTTGGTGCTGGAGCGCCTCCAACCCAAAGCGACGATTCCAGACCAGAGGTTCATAATGACGACTCATTTAGGTACCAACCTAACCGCACTAGGAGTTTTGTGGCAATGATTGCGCCTGCAGTCTGCAAACAATAGCTTGCATGCCCCACTGCTGGAAGTTTGACCAACGCGAGAAGCGTGTGAGCAGCTCCTCCTCAGCATATTGCTGCAACGCAGTGCCCTCCAAATGCATGCAGTTGTCGGCTCCTGCTTGTGCTCCATAATTGGTAAGGGACTGCAAAGACTCAACGAGCTGAATCTCGACAGCCTCCCAGGAGTAAGACAGTCTTCCTCCTCGCATGGCCTTGTGACAGTTGAGGCCTGATTGCTCATGCCATTTACCACCTCCACCTTGTCCGTGCTGACAGGAAGCTCGATCAGCTCCTCACTGGGATATGCTGCACCAATTTCACTTTCTGTACAGCAAAGATTGGCATGTTGATGAGCCCGGTGTGGCAGAACTACCCCTTCTGGACCTGATCCCAGCAAGCATAAGCTAACCCCGCAT